ATGGAAAGGTAGATCACTAAATATCAGTTATTTTAGAGTGTTGGGGGTATGTAGCATATTACAAGAATATGTATCCTAAAAGAACAAAACGACGTCCTCTATGAATCAAATGTGCTTTCATAGGATATGAATCCAATAACAAAGCATATAAACTTTTAAATATGGAGTCTAACATAATTGTTGAATCCCGAGGTATGGAGTTTTTTTTGAAAAACTTATCGCGAAGAATAAGGAATATGAGATTCCCACGAATGAATAATCTCGCGATGAAAAATCTCCACGGATTGTTGAAGTACAACACGAAAGTATCTCGTGGATTGTTGAAACACAACCCGAGTCAAGGTAAGCAAAAGAGCCCGAAAAGCTAAAGTTCTAGGTCCAAATGAAATAAATTCTCAACTCATTTCCTTTTATCTAGTTGAAGATAAATGCAAGAATAATGTTCGTAAACTCCCTATTATTCCCCAATTAGAAGATGATCCAAAAACCTATAAAGAAGCAGTAGCTTTAAAGGACTCTTCTTTTTCGAAAGATACTATCCAAGAAGAAATGGATTTGATTATTTCAAACCACATTCGGGAACTTGTCGACCATCTAAAGGGTTTAAGGCCTATTGGATGCAAATGGGTGCTTAAAAGAAATATCATAGTGACGGTACATTAAACATATATAAGGAGAGATTAGTAGCAAAAAGATTTAGACAAAGAGAGGGTGTTAATTACTTTGACACATATGCACCAGTGGCAAGAACAACATCAATTAGAGTATTGTTTGCCTTAGCCTCTTTTAATGACCTTATAGTTCATCAAATGGATGTTAAAACAACATTCTTAAATGGAGATCTCAATGAGGAAATCTACATGGAACAGCCAAAAGGTTATGTGCTTTCTGGAGATGAACAACAAGTATGCAAACTTGTCAAATCCTTATATGGTTTAAAACATGCACCAAAATAATGGCATCAAAAGTTTGACTTTGTTATACTTTCAAATGGATTTACTCGAATTCTTGTGACAAATGTTTGTACACAAAGGTGCGTGGAAACATTGTAATATTTTTGTATTTATGTGTTGATGATATGTTGACCATTAGCAATGAGATGAATGAAATTTTAGAAACAAATAAATTTCTAACTTCCGCATTCAAAGTGAAAGATCTTGGATTAGTTGGCACTATTTTAGGGATCAAAGTAAAACGAAATATGAACTTATTCAAACACATTATATTGAGAAAATGTTGGATAAGTTCAAACACCTGTACTTTAAGGAAGAAAATACTCTACTTGATCCTAATGTAAAACTTTAAAAGAACAATGGAAGAACTGTAGCCCAATTGGAATATTCAAGTGAAATTGGATGTCTAATGTATTTAATGTAATGCACCAGACCAGATATAACATTCACAGATAGTAAGACGAGTATATTCACTATTAATCCAAATGGTGAACATTGGAAGGCCATAATTAGGATTTTTGGTTACCTCTTAAAGTAAAAAAGATCTTGGTGTTCATTATGGTAGGTTTCCTGCTATACTAGAAGGATATACTGATGCTAGTTGGATATCAAGTGTTAGAGATCATAGATCTACAACTGGGTGGATATTTACATTAGTTGGAGGTGCGATTTCTTAGAAGAGTAAGAAATAAACATGCATTACTCTTTCGACCATGGAATCAAGGTTTGTGGCTCTTGCTTCCGCTGGTAAAGAATCATAATGGTTGAGAAACCTTCTATTGGAAGTCCCATTGGCTAAAGAAAATATTTCAAAAGTGTTGATACATTGTGATATCCAAACCACCCTAGCAAGATCATTCAATGAAGTATATAATGGAAAGTCTAGGAACATTGGTCTGAGACATACTTTTATGAGAAAATTAATTAAAGATGGAATTATTTCACTCACCTATATACGAACGAGCTATAATTTGGCTGATCCATTTACTAAGCCACTGACCAGAGACTTAGTAAAAACAACCTCAAGAAGCATTTCCTTGAGTAAGAGTTTTGACAGCGGCGACAACCTAATCTTAGAATAGTAGAACATTAACCTCAAGATTCAATGAGAAACAACAAGTCGTTGATTTGAATGTTTGTCAAACATTTCGTGATAATGTTGACCTTTAAAATGAGGGTTGAGTTTTTATTTAAACTCTTAATAAAATTCAATACCGAGGGTATGTGTCCCATGGAAAATGATACAATATGAACTTCACCTATGTGAATTTCGGGATGGTGCTGTCTCAAAGTGAGAGTTGGAGTTTCTCTCATAAAAAATTCACAAAAATAGGAAAAACACATGACCATAAATAGTGCTAGGTGAGAGATGTAGGCGAAGAACCATTAAAGAGTGTATGTAAGGTAGCGCCTGTATAATCACAAGTGATAATGATTTAAAGTATATCTACCTAACATTCTGATTATACTTTGTGTTACTCTTACTAAGGTTGAGTTCAAATTGAAAGATACTTAACTGTATTAACATTATTTGTTTCTCTATTCTGAAATTGGTCTGGTCATTATTGGAACAAGTAATGAATTATTATAAATTCATGAACATTCAATGTCCATGTGTATGTGTTCCAAAATGATAAGAAAAGTGAAATGATGTAAATGCTAATAAATGTAAGAGAAATAGTCCCACATAGAAAGATTTACTCACATTCAAAGCCTTTATAAAAAGTTAAAAACATTAATTCAACAAAAGGACAAAAGAGGATAAAGTTCCAGATGGATAAATGTGGTGGTCCCAAGCATTATGCCATTTGTCTCCTCCATACACCCCTCGGTAGCGACACCGACTCCGGCTCTAGGACTGGGTCCGAGGACGTGGGCGTAAAGGCATTAGTGGTGGCTTGTAGGTGGTACTTGATTATTTAGGCATGATGCATCAAGGTAATCGAGCTACTCTCGTCGTTATGAGGCGGCGCCAGTGACACTCCAACGGGTGGCGGTCGGCCTTCGAATGAGCTCACTATTGCTCTCGTTTTGGTCGATGTATGCGTTTAATTTTCGAATTCGAAGAGAAGCGAAAGGAATGAATGAAAAGAGGCAATGTTTTGCCAAAGGAATGAAAAGAGGCAATGTTTGGAAACAATGCAACTTTCATTTAAAAGGTATTGTTTTATCAAGGGTCGTATTCCTGTGAAACAACACATACATGACCTATAAATACCTCATTCGAAAATTCAGAAAACATATCACAAACTGAATAACCTCTTGAACAAATTTCAAACTTTCTTCGCTACAAATCGAGTTTTCGTCGGTCTTGCGCAAATTTGATATAAGTCTGAGTTATTCTGGATATTTTTGCGTTCCAACTCTAAGATTTATTTGAGAGTACTTGAAATACTTTTAAAAAAAGTGATTTCGTTCACGATTCAGTTTTGAATCCATTCAACTTTACTGATATTTCTAACAATATATATTTTTATAAATAGAAAAAGTTTATTATTAGTACATATATTTTTATAAACAAAAAAAATGTATTGTTGATACAAATATTTTTATAAACAAAAATAATATATATATTATTGACACAAATATTTTTATAAACGGAAAAAATCATTCATAATATTATCTTTATAAAAAAAGTGTATTGTTAATATCAATATTTTTACAAACAAAAAAAAGTGAAATATTCTTATAAAAGAAAAGAACCTATGTTTATAAATATGTGAATGTTTATGATAATAGACTTAGAGAATGTCAAGCAGAAGAAATCCATGCGATAAAAAAAAATTTACAAAACATATTCATTTTTTTAATTATTTTCATCCAAAATTATAAGACGTTTTAAGTATTTTATACAAATTAAAAAATTTAATTATTATTTTATAAAAAAATAAATTAAATAATGTCTCTCATAATTAAATAAGAGAGAAAAATTATAAAAATAAAAAATAAAAAATATTTAAAAAATATTAAAAAAATATCATTAATATTACATTATGACTTATAATTTAAGACAACTTTTTTTTTCATACATGATTTATAATTTGGGAGTGAGCAAGAGGATAGACCAACTCCAATGGGAGTTCTTAGAGTGGGTTTGCCAACATGGCACTCATATTTGTTGTTTCCAAGATTGTCATGTTGTTGAACGGTGCTTAATTAAGCAACGGTTCTTCAACTGTTCTTATATTAAAATATTAATTTTATAATATAAAAATTATAATTTAATATAAAATTTTATTTATCATTTTAATCATCATATGAAAATTATAATTACAATATTAAAATATTGATTTTATAATATGAAAACTATATTTTAATTATAAGTTTAAATTATAAGTTTAATTTGAATTTTATTTATTTTATTTTTATTTATTTTAATTTTTAATTTTAATTTTATTTTAATTTTATATCAAATTTAATTTAAAACACTAAAATTAACTAAGGAGAGATTGAAATATTTTTTAAAATTTAATCTAATTTTTTTAAGTTTATATAGTAGAATGAAATATTTTTCCTTAAAACAACACTATATACCGATTGGACTATATAGTAGATTGAAATAATTTTCTGTAAAAAAATTAAAATTATTATTTTAAGTGATATAAAATTTAATATGAATAAAATATTAACATATAAAGTAAACTTGTGGGACCCAATATGAGTTCTTCAGAATTGCCCCATTGGAGTGAAAAATTAGTTGAGTTGCTTCAAGCTGACGTGGCTTAATAGGTCCCACAAAGAACCCAAAAATGAGTTCACAGTTGGAGATATTATTAACCTAAACAAAAATAAAATAATAAAAGAAAAAGAAAACGTGGTGTCATTTAAAACAAACCCAAAGAAAAAAAAAACCCGGTCCACTACTTGCACTCCAAGAACACGAATATTCTCCGCCCCAGAAAAAAATACCTAGTTCATTCATTATCTTCAAATCAAAGTATTCTGCATTCCTCATTTTGTGTCATACCAAATTCTATTCCATTCAATTTCAATCCTCTCCTACATCCCGCTTCCTTAGATCCACTTTCTTCCTCAATCATCAACATCATGGTTCTTCACAGAGATCTCGACCTTCTTCTTTCCTCCCATTTAATCAACAATCCCAGAGGTTTTCTACTTACCTTCATTTTTATCATCCAAGTTACGTTCATCTCGAGTTTCAGAAATTGAATTTTCATCTGCAGATCTATGTTTTATGGAAACAGTGTTGTAACTTTGTTTTTTTTTGCAGGAGATGGTGCGAAATTCAATGCGAATTCAATTGAGAAGAAGATAGAGTTCCTTGAAAGCTTTACTGGAAAGGTCTGTGTGTGTCTAATACTTATGCTTATCTTGTTATGTAAAAATTAAAAAAAAATTGTTTTTTTGTTTTGTTTCCCTAGTTTTATTTGTTTATTTGAGTTTCATTAGCATACTTGTTTTGTATGAATTCATAATTTTACTTATTCTAGATGTGATAACAATCACATGGATTGAGTTATTTGGTTGTGAATTAATTTGAGACTAGTATTAACTGTTTCAGGTCACAAATAGAAGATCGCGGAGGTGGTTAAACGATCGCCTATTGATGGAACTAGTACCGCGTTTGAATGCAGAGGAAATTAGAGGCTTGTTTGCTCCACCACCTTTCGGTAATTTTTTGGTGTTGTCTGATGTGTTATTATTCTTTGAGTTCATGATGTTTATGCTTTTCTCTTCCGGTCGAGGCTAATAGTTGTATTCATGCTTGGGAGCTTATTTTAAGTTTTGTTGTTTTCTTCTCTGTTTGCACACTTTGTTACCATTTAAGTGCATTGAAATTTTGTTGTTTTCTTCTCTGTTTGCACACTTTGTTACCATTTAAGTGCATTGAAATGAAGGGGAATGTATCCAAAATTTACATCAAATATGCAGAAGTACGTTGTGAGAATGAACTGGCTTTAAACTTCAAATGATATTATTATAATTCTATAGTCACTTTCTAATCTATTCTTTCTCTCTACTCTTAGAGTACAATAGTCCCAATGAGGTTTAAGCATATGACCTCTTGCGAACTACCCAAGTTCATCCCCACTAGCCCAATCCTAGTTGCTTTAATTATTTTTTTCTTCTTTTTTATATGGATTGCCCAATGTTCCCTTTTTTATGTTGATAATGATCGGGTTAATATAACAGGTGATGAAGTTCCACCTTCAACATTTTCCTTGACTAATGTGGAGGAGTGGGACAGATTCAGGAATATAGACATGGACAAAGAGGTTATATTTCTTTCTCACTTTTGCAGATTATGTCTTCTAAATTTTTTACTTATTAAAAGAGCAATTTGGTGCACTAGCAATTGGATTCATCGAGCAACAGTTTTATTCATATTGCGTATTGACTTGGCAGAGCGATCTCATGTTAAAACTTCGAAAAATTCCCTCATTTCGTTATTAGTTATTTATGATTGGATGGGCTGTGATATAGTTTAGGGTGTGATTTGTGTTTATATTTTTATGTTGCACTTGAGAGCTTGTTAGTGTAATCATGGTTTGTGCTACATTTACATATGTAATGATTTGTATGGGTGTCATGCTCATGTGAAGCTATGTGTACATATGTGAGGAACCTAATTACTTTAGGTCAAAGTGAAAATGTAATCTCTATGCTGATTGCTGACATGCTTGTTTGTTGTCATATAAACTTGTATTTTGATTATATCTTCATGCGATGCGGTGTGGTCACAACTGACAAATATCTATATGTATATCTTTTATTTTTTTGCTAGGTTAATATAATTCATTCCCTTGAAAATTCTTTAGAAAAGAAGGGAGGTCACATTGACGCTGACAAGATGGCAGTGTTGAATGGTTGGCGTAGAGTTGGATGTAGAACAAGAGAGGCACTTCGCCGCAGCTCTCTTTTTGAACTTATAGATGGTTATGAGGTATATGCCCGGTTATTTTGAACTCGTAGAGTGTTGTTATGTCTCATGAGGCATTTACCTGATTGAAATTATGCATCTCTGTTGCATGGGAAAGGGGATAAACAATCAGTTCTTGCTGTATTTCTCCCTTTCGTTTATAATATGTTTCTTGTCATTTACATGGAACCTTTGTTTACTTCTAGGAATGTCTACGGGCCTTCATAACAGGAAGCACCAATGGAGATGTTCTTGAACTGAGAATTAAGGATCCTTTTCATAGATTGTTGCTGCATGGAGTTTGTGAGGTAATATCAGATTATCAGCTACCTCTGTTAATGGTGAAAATACGATGCTCTATTATATGACGCTAGTTTAATTTTGATGTTTTGTATACAGTTCTACAATCTGGCATCAGACACGGTGTCGGATTTGGATGGCAGCGTGGAGACGTCCAAGGCGACTATGATAAAGAAGAAGAAAAAGGGTTCTCCTGAACTCCCAAAGATCACTCTGTCTCATTTCCTGAGAATGTCCAAGGAGGGAAGTTGGTAGTTTGTTCGGGCAGAACCGCTGTCCATTGCACATACAATAAAATCTTGACATTATTGGATATTATAGTCTCTGCCTCTGTACCATGTTCTCAATCTAGTTTATTTTATTTTTCTAAATATTACTGTAAATTAAGTTTCCAACCTATACTTTTAGCTGGTTGATTCCATCAGTCAACAATAAAATGTTGGTTGTTGGCTTACATTGTTGTATTGTAGCTTATGAAATAAGATTTTTATAATGCGATGTTTAACTAATACTTCCTCCTGAGATCCTTATTATAAGAAAAAATTCACCTTACATGATTATTCAATGTATTAAAAAATATATATTTTTTCTTATAATACCAACTATACTAAGATCATAAAATGAATAAAAATGTTAACACTGCATACAAATTAATATATTGATTGATACTATTGACTAAATTAAAATAAAATACCTCATTATTTGTATTATCATTTTTTTTATATGTAAAATATGTCAATGTCTAGTAGAAGAGATACTCAATTTCATTTGTGCAATTGCTTTGCAAATATTAGAATTAGAACACCAATTTGCAGAATCATAAAAAGTGTTGAAATTTGACTTGGCTACATACCAAAACCATTTAAAACAATTATTGACCAATGGTTTAAAACTAACAACTATTGAACAACACGTATTTGTTTTATCTTGTTTTTGTGGAATCCTAACAAGGGCTTTGACCAGTTCTACAACCAGCAATATCATCAATGGCAAAGAAACCTGTGAAGTACTACGTGGTATGCATGATTATTTGTTCGACTGTTAAATGTTTTTTTATTGTGAAAAAATAGTTGCTGTGGTGTGTGTGTGTTAATCTGAGTGATGAGATATACAGGTGGATGCATTCACAGATTCAGCTTTCAAAGGAAACCCAGCAGCAGTGTGTTTATTAGAACAAGACAGAGACGATAAATGGTTGCAATCATTAGCTGCTGAATTCAATATTTCTGAAACATGTTTCTTGACTCCAATTCATGGTACTTCTGTTCCTCGTTTTGGTCTCAGATGGTTTACTCCTACTACTGAGGTTAAGATCTAGCTTTTCATTTTAAACTTTTCAATTCTCTTAAACATGGATTATTATTATTAACATCATTTGAATTCTATTATACTCCAGGTTAAACTTTGTGGTCATGCCACATTAGCAGCTTCACACACACTCTTTTCATCCGGTTTGGTCGACACCAATGTTATTGAATTCGATACACTATCTGGAATTTTAACTATCCAAAAGATCCCTTCAGTTGATGCTACTGGTGCGCCGAATTTGCAGAATGGTGAAGCTCCGGTTGGATTTTATATTGAATTGGATTTTCCTGCAGATCCTACCACAGAATCCAACTTGGATGACACTTCACTCATTGCTGATGCATTGAATGGTGCTTCAATCATTGATATCAAGAAGACACAAAACGAAGATAATTTAATTGTAAATCAGTTTTTCTATTAGTTGTGTTTCATTGTGTAATGTACTATGTTTTAATTTAACTGCTGTTGATTGTTTTGTGCAATTTATACACATTTAACATTATTAATCTTGTTATTTCTCCTAGGTTGTTGTCGCGTCTGGAAAAAATGTGACAGAAGTAGAGCCGCAACTTGATGCAATTGTTAAATGTCCTGGAGCGGGAATAATTGTTACAGGGATTGCTCCTCCAGAGTCAGGATTTGACTTCTACAGTCGATATTTCAGTCCAAAATTTGGAATCAATGAGGTAAATTGCTAATGTCTCCTTAACTATGCAATGAATGAAGAGATGAATACAGAAAATCTAAGTAAAGTAGGTTCAGATTTCGAGTTTTTTAACACAACTCAAAGTCTGAGATAGTGTTGTTAATAACTCATATTTGCTTTTAGGATCCTGTTTGTGGAAGTGCACACTGTGGCTTGGTACCATATTGGAGCAAGAAGCTGGGAAAGTGTGATTTTAAGGCTTATCAGGTACTACTACTGCTAATCTTTCTTTTCCCTCATTTGGATTATCTTTGTCGTTGTTGTACTAATCTGTCGATTTATTTGTGCAGGCATCAGCTAGAGGGGGAGTTCTTGATCTTCATCTTGATGAGCAGAAACAAAGAGTGTCTTTTCGCGGGAAAGCTGTTATAGTGATGGAAGGGTTTGTTCTGGTCTAGTCATGTTCCTAGCATTGCAGAAATATTTGTGATAAATATAACATATCACAAAAATTGTTATTGGAATAGCACTTAATTTTTATGATACTTTATGATACTTTATCTCTGTTTCGTTTTGCTTTTTATACGAGTGTCTGTGTTTGGCTCAATGTTTCATCTTGCAAATTCAATGAAGAGAAAATTGAGGGAGGTGATAACTTCTGCAGCAAAACAAGACTACAGGCTCAAAAAGAAGATGCAACCCCATTGCCATTGCAATTGTCACAAGGCCATAACTTTATTAATATTTGCAGAACTCAAGTTCTTGATTACAACACATCCAAAATTTATTTTATTATTATTTTGTTACATAAGATGGCCACCTCAACATTGCATTGCATGATTTTGTTGAGATTGTGATTGGGGCTGAACCAACGGGCCACGGTTTCCGTTATACTTAATTTGAGCAACCTCATTCTTTCGAAGTCCGAAAGCATTTGCAAGAACCTCACCAGGAGTTGCTCTAAACACTTGCATTACATGGCTAACAGCAGCTCTATCATTTGTCTTGAACACTACATACTCTAATCCTTCTTCATTTCCTGCTCTTTGGGAAACCACAAAATTTTGTGGCACCACCACCAATTGTCCCTTTCTCACCTTATCGTCGAACATTGTGTTACCTTGATTGTTCACTATTCTAACTCTTCCTTGTCCTCTAATCACGTGCAAGAGGCTGTTGGCGTTGATGTTCTAGTGTGGAGCATATATACCATTCTGCATATACATACATATATAGAAATATACACATTTACCATATTATGAAAATATACACATTGGTTTAATAATTAGTACTATATACATATCCTGTAGAGAAGAACATATTCGACACTGAGGTGTAAATTGCAGAGGATTGGGAGGGTTAAATTGTTGACAGTGCTGATGCGACCAACACGTGGGTTTTAGAGATCAGCACGTGAAGGACGAGCGATGTTCTCACGAATCTTTACACTGCAAATAGTTTCTTCTAAACCATTCTCTCTTCCTTTGCTGTGTTGACCATGTATTTCTTCCTCTTACTCCTCTTCCTCCTCCTCCCTTTCCTTTACTTGTTCTTTTTCTTCTCCTCTTCCGTGTGATTCCTGTTTCTTTTCTTCAGTTTTTTTCTTCCACTTTTTAATAATTTCATGGATGAGAGGTTCATCCTCTTGTTTTTCACTGTGTTTGTGATGTCTTTGTTCTCGTTTTTCTTCCTCTTCCTCTTTTTCCTCTCTTTGACTGTGACTTCGTTCTTCTTCCTCTTCCTCTTTCTCCTCTCTTTGACTGTGACTTCGTTCTTCTTCTTGCAACTCGGGACTGATAATGTCAAGACCGGTCTTTACTTTTATGATTTGACCCCTTTTACGATGTGGAGATTGAAGTTTCTTAGCTGTTTCCTCCTTGGTGTTGAGTGAATATGCTAAAAACTCTTCCCTGAAGCCATTCAACACAAAACTCTTCCCTGAAGCCATTCAACACACTGCTATCTTCGTTTTGTTCCTCGGATTCCTCCTTTTGTTGATGTTGTCCACCTTCACGTCCAGTAGGGTAACTGTGCCTTTGTTGATGTTTTTCCTGTGTTTCGGGGAACTCTACCTCTGGAAGGTTTCCACCAAGGTAAAATACCGTTAAACACATACTTACAAGTGATTAATGGAATAGAAAATATTATACATTACAAAAGTTTATAAGTCTCTTCAACGGTATGACAATATCGAAATTTGGATAATGTAACATATAGTTATACAATTACTTACTATGGGGATTGAATCAAGCTAGTTTAAAGTGTTGGAAGTGTCGAGAAGACTAATGGTAACAAGAGGTTCATCCCCATGGTTATAGGTCCAGTAAGGAATTCTAGGTGGAATGGCAATGATATCACCTTTAGAAAAGCGTCGAATCTTCTGGTGGCTGTCACGTTGTTGTTGTTGCTGTCTAGATTGTGAGCGTGGTTCTTCGTAAGTTTTAGGACAACCATGGACTGCAAGCCCACGTACTCCCTTCCCTACATAGAAGAAAAAACCTAAACAATTACAAAACAATTCAACAAGTTACTGTTATAATAAGTCTTTCTGACACCAAAACTGGTAAGAGAAGAAGAAGTGACAAAGTTATATTTGATTGTGATAAAGGTGAAAAGTACAAAGAAGGAGATATTGAAACCCAAAGTGCTATCAAGAAATGTGGTTGTCAATTCAAAATTAGGTCAACACCTTCAAAAGATGGTTCTGGTTGGAACATTGACGTAAAATGCGAACTTCACAACCATGATTTATCGGATAGATTTGAAGGTCATGCGTTTGTGAGTCGACTTAATGCTGATGAACAACAACATATTGTCGATTTGACAAAACATCATGTTCCACTAAGACACATATTGTTGTCATTACAATAACGGATCCAGAGAATGTGACTCGAATCGCCCAAATATATTAACATAAGACTAAGATTCAGAAAGACATCAGGGGTCCTAGAACGAAAATGTAACAGTTGTTTAAACTGATAGAGGAATCTGATTATGTTTATTGGAGTAGGAAAATAGATGAGCCGAAAGTTGCGAGAGATATCTTTTGGGCTCATCCAGGATCAGTGAAGTTGTTGAATATGTTTCCTAATATGATGATTATGGACAATACTTATAAAACAAATAAGTACATGCAACCTTTGTTTGAAGTAATTGGTATGACATTAAACCGAGTTAACATTTGCTGTTGCATTTGCCTATATGGAATCTGAGCAAACAGAAAATTTGTGTTGGATACTGGATAAGTTGAAAGAGTTGTTCACTAAGCAAGGGTTATAGCCACAAGTGACTTTGACGGACAGAGATCTTACTTTGATGAAAGAAATTGAAACAGTATTTCCAACGACAGTTAATATGCTTTGTCGATTTCACATCAACAAGAATGTAAAAGCGAAGTGCAAGGAGTATGTTGTGAATGATATGAGAGAGCCGATAGAGAAGATATGACATGAACTTGTAAGGGCTAAAAATGAGGCGGAGTACCATCAAAAGTTGCAACAGCTTGAGCATGCCTGTGTGGATTTTAGACCATTTTTTGATTATGTGATAGACACATGGTTGACGTCTCACAGGTATAAACTTTTTGAAGCTTGGATCAATAAAGTGTTGCATTTGAATAACATAACAATTAATAGGTAAGGTGTTTGATTTTAGCCATAGTTTGTTTATCTTAATATTAATGATACTGGACCTTTTTTTTTGTTAGGGTTGAATCTGCACATTGGAAACCGAAGCAGATGTTGGAGAAAAGTTTAGGTGATATGTGAAAATGTTGGGAGGCTATGAATGGAAACATCAAAGTGCAGTTGAGCAATATTAAAGCTTCATTTCAGAAGAGTTTTATGAAGTTGAGCATGCACGCACTAGTCCATTTTATGCGAATTTGTGTGGATCAGTATCTAGAGCAGCTTTGAGACACATTGCTGAAGAGTGACACATGGTTGACATGGTTGGTACAAACACCCAAATGTGTGGTTGTAGTCATAGAAAAATATACGGGTTAACTTGTGCTTGTGAGTTAGGGAGATACACATTTAATGGTGAATTAATACCAATTGATGTTATTCATATACAATGGAGGAAGCCTAACATGAAAGGTGAACAAGAGGTAGAAACAGAGGATGGAGCAGAGGTGGACATGACCAATGAAATTGATGCATTGTGGAAAAGGTTCAGGTTATTAGATGTGGCAGGAAAGAGAGAGCAACTTTGAGACACATTGCTGAAGAATGGCACATGACTGATGTTGTGGTGGAAATAGGATATCAAACTATTAATTAGCTTGAATCACAATTCTTAATTCACAACCGCTCTTTGATTTATCCAAAGGAAAATGTCAAAAGAGGGAAAACCTATTTTTGCATTGTAAACACAATGCGGGGAGAGACCTAGGTAAGGGGTTAGTTAAGCTTAGGGAAGGTACTAACACCCTAAACTTCTGTAGTACTCTACAGGAACCTTTTGTTTATTGTATGCTTTTTTTTCTCTTTATTATCTGTTTTAATGTATATATTGAGCTAAGGGATGGAGTGACCTAAAATACCTAAGGGTTAGTCCTAAGTTTACTCGGCAAGACGTCGCATCTTGTGCCTACGTATCCTGGATAGGGAATGGAATCAGAGTAATCGTAGTTCCCCTCGAAAGGGAGGTTAGAAACTTCTTGACTATGGTCAAGGTTTCAAGGGGAGTAAATGTATCTTAAGGACACGCTTACGTGGAGTATTTAAACTCCTATTTCTACGTTGAATTTGTTATTGAAATTTAGGGTTAAATTAGGGATTCCACGGCGGGAAACCCTAAACAGAGCACAGCGGCTCTTTGACCTAAAAGCTAGGGTAAAGGGCATTTTCTTTTGTCCACGGCGAGACACCTAAGCTAATTAGGGTTTTGAAATGGTTGAAACTAGGATTATTGACTCAACAGTCAAACTGTTAATCCTAATTCCTTCGGAGGGAACGATAAAGGTAAAAATATGCAAACAATGGAATTATTACATGGCAGGCATAAAAAATATGAAAAGTAAAGCAAGCGGAAAAGGAA